TCTTTGTTCTAGATCATATCCTATAACTAGTGTTGTCCAAATGCGAGACCGAGACGAGTCTTGGTCTTGGAAACTCAGTCTTGGTCATGGTCTAGGTCTTCCGCAAGAGTCTCGCAGTTACTTATTAGCTTATTACTATAAATATAATACTGTAATTTTTCACATAGAAGAAACCTAAATAATCCAGAATGAAAAATTAGATGAATTAAATGCAAAATTATATTGGGCATACCAATTATTAACATATAGTAACTAACATTGTCAAGTATGAGTAATATTTTGCCTTATTTTTTGTTTAAAGATTGATTTTTTTTACCAGTCCTAGTCTTGGTCTTGGACCGATTTTGGGCAACACTACCTATAGCATATCTATCTTATCGTCTGTTTATTGCAAACAATCACTAAGTATATTTTTGATGGAGTTGAAATTTTAAGAAAGTTTTTTTTTTTTCTTTAACAAGATTCTTAGAAGTTCCTATGCTTTCGAACAACTTCTAGAGATTTAATTCATTGATTTTGAATATTTTTCCAAATCCGTCATCACATATCGTCGGCATCATGTTAAAGTAAGGAGTATGAAAGGTTGGGCAGATTAAAATTCGTCACTTTAACATGGTGCCGATGATTTATTTACAAGGATTTTAGGTTTATGCAAGTTCAGTATACTTTTGGTCTAAGGTACTCTAAGAGCCACAACAATCTCAAGAAGCATTGATAATCTGAGAGCCGTTGCGGACTAAGAGGCGATGCGGAGTTCCGTTTCCTGACCAGCTGCGCGCCCCGGACGGAGTTGACCCGGCGATTGGACCCACACAATCTGTCGTTTCACCGGGACTTATGTCATGTCTGGTATGGGATTAGTGTCTCCAACCTAGGGATTGCCGTCAGGCGGCGGTAACCTGGTTAGTTATGCGTTAGCTGATGGACCAGCGGAGGGGAGGCCTATGCGGTTTGTTTCTGTGTTGTTAAATGGAGACATTTTATAATTGTGGATTGATGGCTGACTTAATGATTGAAGTGGAGATTGGTTGCGGCTTTCAGTCAAAACAATGTAAAAATAAATAAATGATATTTATTTTGAGAAGGAGTTGATCGGGGGTTGCGGTCGAATAATTTCTAAATTATAAAAATAGTATTATTAATTGATTACGCCAACGTTTCGACCCACCTTGCAGGTCTTCATCAGGGCTACAAAATAATAAAAGGTACATAGTGAAAATAAAATAAATGAATGTTAAATAGATATTAAATAAGAAATTTTCAAGTTAATTTATTATCAGCCATATTTATACCAATTTTTAAAAATTTTGTCAACTTAATGACTACTCATCCCAATTACGACGTTTCTGCACGTCAAGCCATTTTCAATTCTAAAAAAATTAACGGATAAAATTGAAAGAACATTTAAACAATATGATGTAAATGAAATTAAATTTGCAAGCAAACCAATTAATAAATTAGATACAATTTATTCGAATACTAAAGATAAAGTACCTATCGATAAATTAACGAATATTATTTATAAAATAAATTGTAAAAATTGCAACAACAAATCATATTTTGGACAGACATTCCAATGGTTTGAAAAAAGACTTAAACAGCATAAACAAAATTGTAATTCAGAAAACACAAAAATTAAATTAGCTACTGGACTCTCTCAACATACTATGCAAACAAAACATGAATTTGATTTCAAAAACGCCAAAATCCTACATAATGAAATAAATACGAATAAACGTAGAATTAAGGAAGCAATATAATAACTAAAAACTTAAAAAAATCGGTAAATAATCGTACAGACGTGGATAATATGAATACATTTTACGCAAGTTCAATTGAAAAAAATCAAAATTTGAAATAAATTAGCTAATGTTACTTAAAATAGGTCCACATATAATATTGGAAAACATCATTGTATATGTTTATAATAAATAGTCTTCCCCTACTCCTATAAGAATAACCAGTCACTGAATAGAAATGAGACGGGTGACATGTGGGTGACTCATGAATAAGTCAATTTTAACTTATTTGAATCATTCAATAGAAAAGAATTGAGTAATAATAATGTTGTAAAATAATTAAAGGTGGACATGACAAGAATAAGGAATTTTATTATGAGTAGATACTTCCAATTCGCATAAGTGAAAAGGACAGGTACATGATGGGCATTTTAGGTATATAAAAAGAATCTTTATAATTTGAAATATGTAAAGTTAATATGTGATTGTAAATTGAAAAAAAAAGTTTAGACTTGAAAATGGCTCGACGAGCCGAAACGTCGTAATTGTGATGAGTAGTCATTAAGTTGACAATTTTTTAAAAAATTTATGTAAATATGGCTGATAATAAATTAACTTGAAAATAAATAGTATTCACCGGAGAAGAAGTGAGAAATATTGTGAATAAATAAGAAATTATTATTTCTTAATAATTATTAGTTTATCAGACAACTGTTTCTTATTTAATATCTACTTAACATTCATTTATTTTATATTCACCATGTACCTTTTATATTTTGTATCTTTTGTAGCCCTGATGAAGATCTGCAAGGTGGGTCGAAACGTCGGCGTAATAAATTAATAATAAAGGAAGGAGATGATCAGAGGTGGCGGTCATAAATAGGCTAAATAGTGGTAAAACTATTTTATTGAAAGCCGACGTTTCGACCCGACTTTGCAGGTCTTCAGGGAGGTGTGTTCAGCTAGGAGTTTCACTTAGAACTGAAATTGAGTTCTAAGTGAAAATCCTAGCTAAATTAATAATACTATTTTTATAATTTAGTATTTATTCGACCGCACCCCCCGATCAACTTCTTCTCATATTATATCACGGTCAACCATCTCTACATCATTGCGATATTTATTTTGATTTTTTCCGAGAAGGCCAAATGTTGAGGCCTTCATCCGGGCTAAGAAATAAACTGATAACAATGGGTAATAGAAACTATTAACATTAAAAAGAAAAGAAAAAATGTAGGTGAAAGGTATAGTCTAAAAAATGTAAGTAGAATAAACTTAAAGTAAAATAAAGTAGGTAGAATAAACTTAAATGAAATGTAAAATAACGATAACAAAGTTAGAGATAGGAAGTAAAGGAAGCCAAATTATGAATAAAATAATAACAATAACAAAGCACTATGAAATAAATAATAACGGCAGCGAATTAGGGACTAATGAAATAAACATAATGAAATAAGGTAACATAAGAAATGAAAAATGAATCAATAACGAAATGTAATGGAATTATATGAGATGAAAAAAAATAAATGTTTACATAAAATAAATGGGGAGCAATCAAATTGCTAAAATATGATGTCTTAGTATGCTAAAAAGAAGTGAGATAATCAAACAATAAAATGTAAAACAGACGAAAAGAGTATGAAGTTATATAAAGAATATAATAGATGCACATAAAAAAATTAAGTTACTGTAAAATCTATCAAAACATACTTACTACGTATAAGAGTTTAAAAAAATAAATAACTTAATGTAAATAATGATTCAATAAGATGTAATGAGGAAATGTATTAATATACACAAAGTAGAGGTGGGAATATGGAAAAGAACGGGCAAAACATATTTTTTTTTTTAATGAATACCTCAACCAATCTTCTCTTCGATACATTATACAGTCCATTTTAAAAATGTTTAAAAAATAGTTTTTAGCGACAAAGGTTTTTTCTTTTTAATTTCTGATTTGTATCTAGTTTTGGGTAATCTATTCCACATAAAACGGATCATTATTACCTGGCATTTACTCAAAAGCTAAATTTTAATAGGAATACCCTTTCCCAAAAGAATTGTTTTGAAAAATAATAATAAAATACTTTAAATTAAGCCAGATTGTTTTAATGATTGTATTATTTCCGTTTTATATGCATCCACCGTTCAATTTCTATAGCAGTTAGGAGCAAAACATATATAGAAATTGAAGAAAAACCTTTTCTATAATAAAAAAAAATCTGGTGCGCTCAAAACACAACTTTCACTTACCGCTGTGATGTGAATAGAAATTATTTTCTGGCAATTCTGGGCTATTAAAAACTTTTATAAGTGAATTTTAAACGGAGCTAAAGCTTAAAGCTTACAGATAACAAATCATTAATACCATTAAAATTAAAAAAAGTGTATTTATTATATCGACGGTAGACAATAAAAATCTAGTTTTATTAACCACATAACTTCAGTCTCTGAACCTTTCAGTTGACAAAATGACTAACTCCAATTTCAACATTTTTGAGTAATGTCATTTTAATTGAAAATGTTATCTATACAGACAGTGAGTAAGTTGATTCCATAGTAGGTAATTGCAGTGTTAAAATATAGAACTGTGAATAAAGGTATACATTTTGCCACTAGAAACATCAGCAAAAAAAAAAAACACAATGATTAATAATTCTCATATAAATTCTTAATCAAACTAAATTGAAAAATAAGCTTAAAATCAGTTATAATTTATTGGAGTAATAATTACTTAATCGATTAATGGACTTACTAGTAATTGTCTTATTAACCTGAAAGATTTTTCTTGCTGATTTTTCCTTCTAAATTTTAAATATCCTTCTCTTTAAATTTTCACCCAGTTAGGTAATCAATAGGAGGATTTAAATTAAGATTCACGTTAATTCCTGCTTATTTTCATAGTTATTTTGTCATGTTTAAGCTCATTATAATATCATACATCGCAATTATCTTTGTTTAAACCTCAAATCAATATTTACCTCTATACATCTCACAAGGTTGTATTTAGGAAATATAAAAATAATTCTAGTAAAACCAAAAGTTTCTCAAAATGAGTTTAATAGACCCAAATAACAAATGTTTGATACATAAAAGGTTTTCTGTCATTTTGGTGCATTCATTGGTTTTTTTTTGTGAATAAATAAAGTCGAAATTCACAAGAAGTAAAGTTAAAAGTTCAGATTTATCATAAATGTGTCTCAAGTGATTTCTTTCAATAACCGGACGATGTTATTGATGAATAAAAAAATAAAAACTAACCTGATTCACGGATATATCTCTCCTCAAGAGTTTTAGGTGTCTTCGCATCTCGATTAATGTTGCAACTATCACGTCAATAATGAATCAGTCTGTGGCTAAATAAATATTGTTTTAAATAGGAAATAGTCCAACAAACAAAATTACCGCTGATAGAAAAGTATAGGTTATAGTTACAATGGTGTATAGGCTATAGAGTAGTTATATACTCAAGAACAACATCCATCTGTTCGATAATTTTATTGTTTAAGTAAACAGAAACAAATTATTTTTTACTTTCACTTACGTATATATTTATATAAATAAAATAAAGATTTTGTCTGTACATTGAATAGAACCAACCCGTTTTATGATATCTTTCCGATTTATACATTGCAGACACCAAATCCACTTTTAAAACAACTTTTGTCTGTCTGTATGTCCGCATTGAAACGAAATTTTGTCAGGGGTAAGCTCAGCAATGGCTTGTTGTAGACTTTTGAAATTTTGGCATTATATTAAGGTTTGCTTGACTTAGAACATAGGCTTTAAATGAAAACAAAATATTGAGTATAACCAAAGTTATGAATTCTTGAGTAATTTGACTAAAGATTTCGGTTAATGTTGATAATAAATGTTAATAATAAACGTATGTTTATAGGTTAAAGAACATCTATATAAATAAAATAAATGTTTCGTCTGTACATTGAATAGAATCAACCAGTTTCATGGTATCTTTCCGTTTTATACACTACAGACACCAAATCAAAAAATTTTGTTTGTCTGTCTAGGTGTCCGTATTGTCCAACGAAATTTTGTCAGGGGTAAGCCCGACTGGTTAACGCCAGACTTTTGAAATTTTGACATTACATTTCTGGGATTAACCAAACGGATTAGCCGGAAATAAGGGGGAAAAACTCCAAAAATTTCACCCCGCCCGCCACAATATTCAGATCAAGTTCTACTAGTTTACATCAAGTTTACACGGATGTAGGTGACTCAATGTCCAATGTTGTTTTGGTTATTTTGCCATCGATAAACTCAGGAGAGTTTAAAGAAGTGGAGAGACTACAACTATTTTTGATTAATTAATCAACTCTACAATCTCCTCGCTTCATCATAAATGAAAATTAAACTTAACAAATTTTAATGGATCGGTGGTGGTCGGTTTGGTTGTGTGGTACAATACCTAAACAAATAGCCAAATAACAAAGCTTTTGTTATGATTATTGCGAAACCTTGACTTCCATAAGCCCTGCCATAAAAAATTTCAAAACAATCCCTCTCCCTTCAAATTTTAACTATAAACCCTTCAACGACGGGTACATCAGCTGGTGTAATATATAGTAAGTTGAATGACACCTTGAACGGGAAGATTGGACAAAGTTGTAAAATGAGTGTGTTTTATGCGATCGTGAAAATTTTTGAATCTGAGTTTTCAACGGAAATAAACGTTTTGGGGTACCCTGAGTCCAAATAACCATGTCCCGAAAAATGATCTGTGTCTGTGTGTGCGTATGTTGGCAGTCTAGCACAACTAAACGAAAAGTCGTAGAAAACTGATATTACGTATTTAAGATAGGTACATGCCTTAGATGTGACAGCAACTTTTTCCTTATCATCGGCTAACCTGAAGTGCCACTTTATATCAACGCTGAAACACATTTTTACAATTTTCTCAAAAACGGCTCTAACGATTTTGATTAAACTCGGTGTATAATTTTATGATTAAGTGGCCTTTAATATCATTTAGGTCTTATCCCCGTTGATGTCAAAAGGCGCACACAAGGCTTTAGTAATTAATTGCTAAGAAAATATTTGATTAAAGTTTTGAATTTGGGAAAAATTTTCCCGAAACGTCAACTTGACATGAATTTTGACAAATAAATTAATTTTTTTGTATACTTGGAAGTTGTTGAATAATTTTTGATAAATGTTTTGATTGTTGAAAAATCTTTAAATTTTATTTTGTAAAGAAATATTATTTGTAATCGAAGGCAACGCTGTTGTTATGGAAGGTTTTTAAAATAAAGTTGCACACGGCACCTAAGATACAATCAAATAAATAAAACGAGATGTTTTTAATATTTTTGGAATTTTCTTGTTTGAAAAGTTTTGTAAAATTTGCTAAAATATAATTATTGTTTTTTATATTGTACTATATACCAATGTAGTTCCGAGATCGGAGTCGACTGCGAAGGGTTGCAGAACGGTCCTCTGCCTTCATGTAATTATGATTCTAGCAAAAAAAAAAAAAAAAAAAATGGATATGTGGTAACTCCTCTTAAACCAAGATTAACATCGAGGAAAACTGAGAAATATTCATAAATAGTTATGAAATGGCTTTGATATTTAAGTATAACTTTAATATATATTGAGAAAGAGATAAAAAAGAGAACTTAACAGCTGAAATGATCCTCTTTGTACAGTAGCTGAGAACACGCGGCCGTTGAAGTGGCGTGAGATATGTGTTGATCCTACCTCAGAGGGAGGTGTTTAAAGAGATAGGCCAATGGCTAAGTGGCATTAATAAGGGGATAATGATAGGGTTGCTAAGGTCACGTGTCCTACACGTGTGGCGGTGGTCATCTTCTTGTTAGGTCCCGATGAGGCCACTCAGCTCGCCACGTGTCTCTTGTCCTCGTTCGTTAAAAAAGTGCCATCTGTGGGGAGAAGGGGGTTCGCCGATATAGAGATATCCGCCACAATGAGGTCATGTTTACCCACGGGGATAATGATTCAGTCATTTTTATTTTATCTTCTTCCGTTTTTTTTATTTTTCATTACCATATGTGGTTTGTCAAGGAAAATTATAGATAGTAGCCGTTTTTCTTCAGGTCATTAGGTTTTGGAACATGAGGAAGTGCCATGATTATCTCTTGGATCGGTAATCACATTTTATTTTTTTAGAATTTGGCTCCCAATGTTTATATATAAAATAGTGCACCCTGCGTAATAGCCAAAAACGTTTATACAAAATAATATATATATATATATATATATATGTATACATATATATATATATGTATACATATATATATATATATATATATATATAATATATATATATATATATATATATATATGTATATAAATTGTTTTCATTGTTGCTATTGTTGTTAAACGTTGTGGAGTATACATGAACGACTGCTCCCCCAGTGGAATTAGTTATAGTTGATGAGCCACTTTGTATGTGCTACAAACAACTAGTACAATACGTGTGATGATCCACAAGGTTTCCGATAATCCCATAAAAAACCCTGATCCCCATGTTCTACCCTCGGACACCTAAGCATAAAGAGCAGTTAATAGAGAAGGTAAAGGAAAAAAATATTTGATCCTCATAAAAAGCGTACGATGGCACTATATCCCTATTGTATCCCTCATGAATTTTAATTTCCCAAGGAATACCGGATAGGTAGCGCTTCCATGGAGCAGTGATTTAGACGCCTGCGCCACCTGGCAAGGACCACCTGGCCCCATATACTGCTCCCTAAACACTGCCTTTAGGATAATGGTTTTTAACCCTGGTAATTTAGCTGTTAAATGGGGTTATTTTTAGACTAGATCAAGCAATAAATTCTTAGGCAAAGCATTTTTATTTTTTATTATTATACGTGACTAAATTTAAAAAAAACTGTAGTGCATTGTGCATCACTCAAATTTTGAGAGGGGGTCAAGTTTTTGAATTTTTCGGTCGATCATAAGGGTTCATAATTGTAAATAATAAACCAAAAATATATTTAAATCGGGATATCTCTAATATGATGAAACTTCCTTCATTTTATAGAAAATTCAAATACCTTTAAAATATCTTATCACATTATCGACAAAAAAGTGTACACTTTTTGATTTATGCGGAATTTAATTTTACCATCCCTCGCAACTTTTTTTCCAGCTTCTTTTCGTTGAAGTATGTTATATAGATAAATTTAAAGGGCCTCGAGCAAATGACTTTAGCGAAGTTCCATTGAAATCGGTACATTCGTTTAGGCGCTACAGCCTATAGCAACGCAGGTTTTACGGCCGCGATTTTGAAAGTAAAATGCGGATAGTAATGTCGATGGAGGAGGATCATCATCGGATGATCTCTGATTGTATATCCAAATTTGAAAAAAAATCGGTCCAGTAGTTTCGGAGAAGATGGGCGGATGGCGAACGGACAAAAAAAATTGTATTCGTTTATCGAATTCTACGTATCCTGAAACATGAAACCTCAAATTTTGAGAGGGGGTTAAGTTTTTGAATTTTTTGGTCGATTACAATGATTGAAGATAATAAACCAAAACTGTAGTGCATCACTCAACTTTCACTTACTGGCCAAATTAAACAATTAAATTTCTGTTCAATAGGGCTAGTTCAAATGTGTGGAAGCGCGGTCTCGGAGACCGCATGTGGCCTCTGCGACGAAGTTGCGGCCTCGGAGGCCATATACGGCCTATAAACGTTTTTGCATAATATTTTTTAATTTAGTTCTGATTTGATCAATGTTTAATTAATTAAGTAACGACCATTTGGAAATTAAGTTGAATGGAAGTAGGTGTATTTATTGATGAATAAAAATAGCAACGGTAAAATATAATATATTACGATTAATAAAATATAGGAATATTATGGCCTCCATTAGGACAGCCTAACATTACTGCGACCTCTAATGATTAAAACATGTTGACGTCTTCGCTCACAAAACTACTATAAAGTAATAAATCAATAATTTCAAGCAAATAGCATTATGAACCCTTTCACCTCCTCTTAATGCTTCAATTCATTTTTATTTTTATTTATTTTGATAAAGCAAGGCCAACTTTGCCCATTTTCAAGTCTAACTTTTTATATCAATATCTTATACTCGCCTTCTTCAAAAATTAATTTCGTAACTATTTATGAATATTCCAATTAACAATTAAAATAAAGAATTAAATAAAGATACTTTGGAGACGTCTCAGTAGTTAAAAATTTTTACCTATTATAAATAGGTAAGCCTACAGCTGACAGTGGACATAAGGCTATTAAAAAGATAGGACGAAAATGTATAGCATTTGAATTAAATTTAAAAAAAAAAATTAATTAGT